CAATCTCTCTGTAACTCTTTCAAATTAATTAATTAATCAAAAAAAAAAAATGAAGAAGGCATCTTTTTGAGAATGAACTGTGGCAAGATTAGCCTGGAAATGTGAATGTATAGGCTCCTGACTTTCTAAAGGATAACTGAGAAAGCAGAAGCTAGCTTTGATTCAATGAAAGGTTTGGAGGGAAGCAAGTAATCATGACCACAGCCAAGGATGGCCATTCATTCAACAAATATTTCTTGAGTGCCACTGGGAATTCAGAAGTAAAAGAGACAATGTGACTATCCTAGGAAACTTACATTCTTGTGAGGAGAAAGACAATCAACCAATTATGTTGATCATGGTCAGACAGTACCAAGTACCACAAAGCACCACCAGGAAAAGCAATGTGATGGGTGGGGGGTTATTGGATAAGGTGGTCAGAGAAGTTAAAGTTTGACCAATGATCCCAGTAGAGTGTAAACAACTGGAAACAAGAGCAGCTGTTCAAAGAAAAGCAGAAAAGTCAGCAAGGCCAGAGAAAGAGAGCAGAAGGGGATCAAGTTGGTGGGACTTGCAGAAGCCAAGTCATGCAGGACCGTAGAGGCCAGGAAGGCAAGGATCTTGTATTTCTTAACATTGTGATAGGAAGAAACCAGAGGATTTAGAGCCAAGAAGCAACAAGACCCGACATGCATTTTTAAAAGTTTGGGTTACTCTGATGAGCAGAGAAACAAACCTTTTTTGACTTAACAAATATAAATCTTAAATTATGAAGAGCCTGTCCTTAATATTCATACCATTAAAACTTGTCCTATACAAGGATCTTATCCAAGAAGATTTAAGAAAAGAAACTTTAAATGTTATTTGTCATAACACTGTCAAACAACAAAAGGTTTTAAAATTATCCCAACATTAATCTGAACCTCAAACTCACTTGTTTCAATTTGTAGAAGGCATTATTTATAAAAGTTTTTTTTCCCTTTCACTATGGACAAGGGAGGGTTGTGGAAAAAATGGATTCTTGCCAAAATGTTTCTATTGCCCCCTAGTGCCCATTCTAAAGAACGATGACCTTCACATATTAGCAGTTTGGAAATGCTATGAAACAAATCACTGGATTTTGGAAAAGAGCCTCTAGCATCCTCTGCTGACAAAATCTTGCAGGTGTAATTAAATTGCTCTGTTTTAAAGAGCATTAATTCTCCACTAAAGTTAATACCATTAAGCTTCTACACACTATTCTTCTACACACTATTTTTTTTTTTTAGCTTTTCTTCCCAGTCAGCTTCAATCAAATTAAAATTGATCATTATTCAAACACTGGTAATAATGATGAGAAAGATTAAAAGAGCAATTTTGAGTGTTTAGTATCCGACAATCCCAGGGTTAACTGTTTACATGATTCATCTCATTGCTATCAACTCCTATGAACTAAAAGAGATTTTTATTCCACTTTTAATTCTTCAAATTTTCCCTACATTTGAGGGAAGGAGACTGACTGATACAGGTGGTTGGCAAAGATCAAGGCCAAGAGGATGAGAGACCTCAGACTAAAAGACAGAGCAGCACAGTGGTGGCCCAAACTTGGACTCTCTCCTGTAGAACGTGCCAGCCAGAGTGTCAGACAAAGTTCATGAAAAACAGGTGCTCACAACTAAAAAGCCACTGTTACATCTAGCCTTTAGTTACAGTCATAAAAATACAACTTTTGATTTTCTGTAGCAATGGGAAACAGGATAGCAAGGATAATGAAAATCTTAAATAATCCCAAAGTCTCTACTTTATGAGTTACAATCCTCTTTACTCAAAACTATATATATACATAAATATATATACATACAAAATATATATATACATATATATATTGAGTATATATAAATATGGAATAGATACTTGGCCTATCAGCTGTTTGGAATGCCCATCTCCCACATTAGAGTGCCTGGGTTTGAGTTTCCATTCTCAATTCTAGCTTCCTGCTAACGTGCAACATGGGAGACAGGAGGGGATGGCTCAAGTAGTTGGGTCTTGCTGCTACTCATACAGGAGACTCTGGATTGAGATACCAATCCCCAACATTGTTGTAGGCATTTGGGGAGTGAACTAGCAGTTGGGGAGCTTTCTTTCTCTCTCTCACTCTTGCTCTCTGCCTCTCAGATAAATTAAAGAAACAAATTTTTTAAAGAATTAGAATCATAAAAAATTAGAATCATGAACAAGCAACAAGAATGGTTAAAAAATAATTTTCACCTTTCTATGACCCCTTGAATCTAAATTTTTGTTACTTATATAATTCCATGAAAAATAACAAACTTTCAAATTCTATTTGCAAGAACAATTTTATTACTAATGCAGGTGAATAAAATAGAATGAAGGAAAAGTAAAGTATGTCATCAAAAGAAATTATGGTGCACATTAAAACTTCCAACCCAATGACTTCTACAGCAACATTATATACAATTAGCAACCAGTAACTGAAGTAAAATGCATATAAAAATTAATCACAGTTGGGTAGTATAGTGTATCATGTATCTACTAACAGGTACTCTGGGAATTTTCCTTCTAATTCTAGGGCCATCATGTTTAGGGGCAGGTGCTTGGCAGAAAAGGTAGGACACCACTTGGGATGCCTGCATATTAGAGTGCCTGGGTTCAAACCCTGGCTCTGCTTCCAATTCCAGCCTTCCTGCTAATGCACCCTAGGAGACACCAGATGATTATACAAGTACTTTGTACCCTGTTACCCACATGAGAGACCTGAATTGAGTTCCAGACTGTGCCTTCACTTAGCCCACCCCAGCTGTTAGACATTTGTGGAATAAGCTAGCAGATGGAAGGAAGATTTCTGTTTGTCTCTCTTTCAAGTAAGTAATAAATTTTCAAAAATAAAATTAAACAAAAAAAAAAAAAAAAAAAAAAAAAACAATGTTGGGAGCCAGCCTGGGAAAGCAGTAGAAGATGGCCAAAGTGCTTAGACCCCTGTACTCACATGGGAAACCCTGAGGAAGCTCCTGGCTCCTGCGTTTGGTTTGACCCAGCTCTGGCTATTTCAGCCATTTGGGAGTCAACCAGCAGATGGAAGACCTCTCTCTCCCTCCCTCCCTCCTTCCCTCTCTCTCTCTCTCTCTCTCTCTCCCTCCCTCCCCCCTCCACGTCTGAAACTCTGTCTCTCAAGCAAATAAATAAATCTTATCTTAAAACAAAAAAAAAATCTGATGGTTAAAAAGAGTTTTGACTTTTTATTTTTTTTTTAGAAGGAAGTACAAGGAACTAAATGGGCAATAGAAACGCCCTACCGCAGGGCTCACATTGTGGCACAGCAGGTTAAGCCACCACCTGCAATGCCACCACCCCATATGGATACCAATTCAAGTCCCAGCTGCTCCACTTGCAATCCTGCTAATGGCCTGCGAAAGCAGCGTAACAGGGTCCCAATACCTGGGTCCTGCCAATCTTGTGGGAGGCCAAGAAGAAGCTCCTGACTCCTGGCTTTGGCTGTCTCAGTCCCAGCCATTGCAGCCAACTGAAGAGTGAAGCAGCAGATGCAAGATCTCTCCCTCTCTCTTTCAAATAAATAAATACTCTGTTTTTCCAAAATTTTATTCATTTATTTGAGAGGCAGAGTTACAGACAGTGAATGTTATAGAATCAGAGTATAAAAAAATGTACAAGAAAAGAAAGCTCATCATGTGAAGGTTGCCATGCTAATGTGAAAATGCAATAGACTTCTAAAAAAAAAATGTACAAGTGTATATGCTTCTCAAACACAGATACTGTTCTTCCTCCACATGTTCACTATGCCAGTGTAAGTAGTGAGTGTGATAACACAACACGAAACTGGTTACTGAATCAGCTATGAGCTTAGATGGTCTGGACAATACATAGTCAAGAAATGCTGAATGCTTAAATAACTGAAAGGGTGTTAGGTTTCACCTAATGGGGGGAGGAGGGGCTGGGAAGCTCAGGCCACAGTCATGAGAGGATGGAATAGGGTTTCTAGAGTTGATAGGTTTGCCATATAGACAGGCCAACCGTTCTTTCTTCCTGCAAAATGGCACTGTCGCAACATAGCTGGCCTTCCCCACCCCTGGGTCTCACTTCCTCTACCACATCTACTCTATCTCCTACCCTCACCCAGTAAGACCCATTAGCAGGTTTCCCCTTATGGCAAATTTGCATAATGATTCACTGTCTTTTTCCCTAAAACCAAATCAGCAGCAAACCCATATGGTTTTTCACTTTTTTTTTTATTATTTTTTTGACAGGCAGAGTTAGAGTGAGAGACAGAGAAAGGTCTTCCTTCCGTTGGCTCACCCTCCTAATGGCCGCTACAGCCATCGTGCTGTGTCTATCGGAAGCCAGGAGCCAGGTGCTTCCTCCTAGTCTCTCATGCAGGTGCAGGGCCCAAGCACTTGGGCCATCCTCCACTGCACTCCCTGGCCACAGCAGAGAACTGGACTGGAAGAGGGGCAACCGCGACAGAACCGGCGCCCCAACCGGGACTAGAACCCGGTGTGCCGGCACCGCAGGTAGAGGATTAGCCTAGTGAGCCATGGCACCAGCTGGTTTTTCACTTTTTAAATTTGTTTTCACTCATAAATATGGTTTAGCATGGCAGTGATCTCTTGGCAGCTTTCAAGATACTTCTCTAAAGAACTCTTTTAAAAAATATTTATTTATTTATTTATTTGAAAGGCAGAGTTCCAGAGAGGCAGAGGCAGAGACAGAGAGAGAGAAAGGTCTCCCATCCACTGACTTCACTCCCCAGATAGCCACAATGGCTGAAGCTGCATCAATCTGAAGTCAGGAGCTTCTTCTAGTTCTCCCTCATGGGTGCAGGGGCCCAAGAAGCCATTTTTCTACTGCTTTCCCAGGCCATAGCAGAGAGCTGGATCGTCAGTAGAACAGCCAGGACTAAAACCAGCACCCATAGGGGATGCCAGCTCTGCAGGCAGTGGCTTTATCTGCCACACCACAGAGTCAACCCCTTTAAAGAACTCTTAAATTACCACTGAAACACTTACTTCCTCTTCATCTTCTCCTTCATCATCATCATCATCATCTTCTTCTTCTTCATCATCATTAAGAGGTGGAGGTAAAGGACCCAGAATATCTGCCTCCATTAGCTGATCTGGTTCCCCTACCATTTTAGGAGGCAAAGGAGGACCAATTAACTCATCATCAGAAGAATCTGAACTCTCTTCACTTCCACTGCTGCTTGTGTCCCTGAAAATATAGAAACAAACTCTTTTACCTCTGCTGCAATGGAAAACACTCTGGAGAAAGTACTGATTTCTTAGGAAATCCTGCCTCTCCTTTTAACAACTGAGTTTTTAATGTTTTCAAAGATTACTGTGTATTTCAAAGATTAAAACATCTCAAGGATAAAATGTTTACCTCAAATACTATTTTATGTTAAATAGTTTTTAAAACTTACCTATTTTACTCAAACATAGACAAAGATACAGATAGCAGTACTTACACATTACAGGGGCAGGCGTTGGGACACAGCAGATGAAGTTACCACTTACAAACTGGTTATCCCACATCAGAGCACCAGCCCTAGTCCCACCTGCTCTGCGTCCAGCTGATATGCCTGGGAAGCAGATGACAGATTATGGATGTGGGTCCCTACAACCCTTGTGGGAGGCCAGGATGGAGTTTCTCACTCCTAGCATTGGCCTGGGCCACACCTGGCTGTTACAGCCATTTGGGGAGTGAACCAGCAGGTAGATGATATCTATCTATCTATCTATCTATCTCTCCCCCTCCCTGCAGCCACCCCATTTCTCCCTCTCTGTCACTCTACATTTCAAATAAATAAACCTTTTTAAGATGTTTTTAAATTTTATTTAATGTATACAAATTTCGTGTAATTCTTCCATACAGATTCAGGAACACAATGATACTTCCCATCCTATTCTTCCTCTTGTCCACGCTCCCACCCTCTTCCTCCTCCCTCTCCTATTCCAACTCTTTAATTTTTATAAAGACCTATTTTTCAGTTTACTTTTTTTTGAGGGGTTACATTTTACTGCAAACCTTTCAGTTCACTTTATACTCCTAAGATTAACCCTACTCTAAGTAAAGAATTCAACAAATAGCATGAAGAAAAAAAAACAGTTCCTCAACAGTAAAGACAAAGGCTGAAAATGATCACCAAAGATTGACTGATTGATTGATTGATTGATTTGAAAGGCAGAGTTACAAACAGAGATGGAGAGACAGAGAGAGAGATCTTCCAGCTCCTGGTTGACACCCCAACTGGCCGCATCAGCCAGGACTGGGCCAAGTTAAAACCAGGAGTCTGGGTCTCCCACCCGGGTGCAGGTGCCCAAGCACTTGGCCATCTGCTGCTGCTTTCCCAGGTGCAATAGCAGGGAGCTGGATTGGAAGTAGAGCAGCCAGGATTCAAACCATCACCCATATAGGATGCCAGTGCTGCAGGCAGAGGCTTAACCTTCTACTACACAGTGCTGACTCTTAAGATTTATTTATGAGATACCAGTGCTGCAGGCAGTGGTTTAACCCAATGTGCCACAGCACCGGCTCCAATTTTTTATTTTTAAATCACACATTAGAGGCTGACTAGTTCATTATTATTTATAAAGAAGAGAGAGAAAAACAGAATGTGGGGGCCGGCGCCGTGGCTCAGTAGGCTAATCCTCCACCTAGCGGCGCCAGCACACCGGGTTCTAGTCCCGGTCGGGGTGCCAGATTCTTTCCTGGTTGCCCCTCTTCCAGGCCAGCTCTCTGCTGTGCCCCAGGAAGGCAGTGGAGGATGGCCCAAGTGCTTGGGTCCTGCACCCCATGGGAGACCAGGATAAGCACCTGGCTCCTGCCTTCGGATCAGCGCGGTGTGCCGGCTGCAGCGCGCCAGCCGCATCGGCCATTGGAAGGTGAACCAACGGCAAAAGGGAGACCTTTCTCTCTGTCTCTCTCTCTCTCACTATCCACTCTGCCTGTCAAAAAAAAAAAAAAAAAAAACAGAATGTGGAAGAAAAACTCTAAAATACTATCTCCATAACAATAAAAACCACTGAAATAACCAATGCCTCCATTAACATTAATTAAATCCAAAGACTGCCACAGGAGTAAACAAAGCCAGCTACGTACACAAACTAATATTACTCCCAAAATGTTTCAATGAATTCCTTTTTTTCCCCCAGATTTATTTCTTTGAGCAGTAAAGAGAGAGGGTGAGACAGAGAGAGAAAGAGTTTCTTTATTCACTGGTACACTTCTCAAATGGCTGCAATGGCTAGGACTGGGCCAGACCAAAAGCCAGAAGCCCAGAACTCCAAGTCTCCCATGTTGATGGCAGGAGCCCAAGCACCCAGGCCACGTTCCACTGCTTCCCCAGAACCATTAGTTGGGAGATGGATTGGAAGCCAAGCAACCAGGATTCAAACTGGCACTCCACTGTACCACAAAGCCAGCCCTTCAAGATAATTTCAGAAATTATTTCTCACTACTAATTCAAATTTGAATAAATTAAATGTAGCATTCCTGGAGTCCAAAAATATCTTACTCTCTAGGTCTTGTCTTACCAATTTCCAACCATTTTCCGATCCAAGGACTAATATACTCTCATTTAAGATCTCTATCAGGGAACAGCACCATGACACAACGGGTAAAGCAGCTAACTGCAGTGCCGGCATCCCATATGGGCACTCCTGACTTTGGATCGGCGCAGCTCCGGCCATTGCAGCCAACTGGGAAGTGAACCAGTGGATGGAAGAACTCTCTCTCTCTCTGGCTCTCTGTAACTCTGCCTTTCAAATAAATAAATAAATCTTTAAAAAAAGAAAAAAAAAAAGATCTCTACCAAACACTGCCAGGCTTTCTGAGACCGATCATTATCCACCATCCCTCTTCCCCATAGACTGTTAATGGTCTCTTTGTTACAATTCAGGTTTCCTCAAATATCATCTCTAGGAGCCCTCAGGGAACACCTTTTTTAAACTTTCACACTCACTGCATTAGTCACCATTACCTTAATTATCTCACTTGGTTACTGCACACACCCTAAATTATCTTACTTGATTAGCTGTGCTTAAAATACTTTAAGGCTGGCGCCTCGGCTCACTTGGCTAATCCTCCACCTGCAACGCCAGCACCCTGGGTTCTAGTCCCGGTTGGGGTGCCAAACTCTGTCCCGGTTGCCCCTCTTCCAGGCCAGCTCTCTGCTGTGCCATGGGAGTGCAGTGGAGGATGGCCCAAGTGCTTGGGCCCTGCACCCGCATGGGAGACCAGGAGAAGCACCTGGCTCCTGCCTTCGGATCAGCGCAGTGCGCCGGCCATTGGAGGGTGAACCAATGGCAAAGGAAGACCTTTCTCTCTGTCTCTCTCTCTCACTGTCCACTGTGCCTGTCAAAAAAAAAAAAAAAATACTTTTACCAGAATACAAACTCAGTGAAAAGAGATATCTCATCTAATTTGCCTACTACTGTAGCCCCACTGGCTAAAAGAGTACCTAACACACCAGATGTTCAATAAATAATAGCTGAGAAGATAGAATAAATTTATATGAACCTATTTACAGTCCCAAATTTTCTCCCTTGTGAGTAAAGCACAAGTTTTCCAGTATAGTGGTTGAGAAGTCCCAGACTTCTTTAACGCAAAATCATTCAAATCACTGAGAACTATAACCTGAAATGCTGATCCTTAGCAACCAAGCTAAGTTAAGTGAGTTAACTAGCTCAGATGTTAAGAACTAAACAGAGAACTAAATGGATCCACGCTGATTTCATGGCTGATTACCGAGGCCCAACACCCAAATAAAAATATGCATGGGGCCGGCGCCATGGCTCACTAGGCTAATCCTCCACCTGTGGCACAGGCACCCAGGGTTCTAGTCCCGGTTGAGGCGCTGGATTCTGTCCCAGTTGCTCCTCTTCCAGTCCAGCTCTCTGCTGTGGCCCGGGAAGGCAGTGGAGGATGGCCCAAGTGCTTGGGCCCCACACCTGCATAGGAGACCAGGAGAAGCTCCCGGCTCCTGGCTTCGGACCCGCACAGTGCACCGGCAGCAATACACCAGCCATGGCGGCCATTTGGGAGGTGAACCAACGGAAAAGGAAGACCTACCTTTCTGTCTCTCTCTGTCTCACTGTCTAACTCTGCCTGTCAAAAACAAACAAACAAAAATCTGCATGGATGTGATCATTTCTGTGTAACTTCTAACTCCATCTCTGAATTTGCTTCTAATGTACAAAGGCAAAAAACAAAGAATTTTTAAACATATTTTCGATATTCTGAAAAACAAAGTCCATAATATGTCCAAAAATGTCCCTGAAAGAAAAAAATACATTCCATTTTAAAAATATTCTTTGGGGCCAGTGTAGTGGCAGAACAGGTTAAGCTACTGCTTCTGACACCAAAATCCCATTTCAGAGTGCAGGTTTGATTCCTGGCTTCCAATCTAGCTCCTTGCTAATGTGCCAGGGAAGGCATCAGGGATGGTCCAAGTACTTGGGCCCTGCCATCCATGTGGGAGACATGGATAGAGCTGCTGGCTTTGGCCTTGCCCAGAGCTGGCTGCTGTGGCCATCTGAAAAGTGAACCAGAGGTAGACATTTCTTTTTATCTCTCCCTTTCTCTATTGCTCTGCCTTTCAAATAAATAAATCCATTTTTAAAAATTCTAAAAATATGCTTTGATTCCGAATGGTGCCAAACTATACACTAGAGACTGAGAAACAGTAGGTATCGGATGAGAAGGTAGTTAAAAGTCAAACCCGGGGCCAGCGCTGTGGTATAGCAGGTAAAGCCACTGACTGAAGTGCAGGCATCCCATATGGGCACCCTTTAAGTCCCGACTGCTCCACTTCTGATCCAGCTCTCTGCTATGGCCTGGGAAAGCAGTGGAAGATGACCCAAGTCCTTTCACCCTGCACCCGCGTGGGAAACCCAGAAGAAGCTCCTGGCTCCGGATCAGTGCAGCTCCGGCCATTGTGACCATTTAGGGGAGTGAACCAGAGGATGGAAGACCTCTCTCTCTGCCTCGCCTTCTCTCTCTGCATAACTCTTTCAAATAAATAAATAAATCTTTTTTTAAAAAAAGTTAAACCCTATTTTTTTCCTCAGAAGACTTCTTTTTTTTTTTTTTTTTTTTTTTTTTTTTTTTTTTGACAGGCAGAGTAGACAGTGAGAGAGAGAGACAGAGAGAAAGGTCTTCCTTTTCCGTTGGTTCACCCCCCAATGGCCGCTGCGGCCGGCACACTGCGCTGATCCGAAGGCAGGAGCCAGGTGCTTCTCCTGGTCTCCCATAGGGTGCAGGGCCAAGGTACTTGGGCCATCCTCCACTGTCTTCCCGGGCCACAGCAGAGAGCTGGCCTGGAAGAGGAGCAACCAGGACAGAATCCGGTGCTCCGACCTGGACTAGAACCCAGTGTGCCGGCGCTGCAGGCAGAGGATTAGCCTAGTGAGCCGCGGCGCCAGCTCCCCAGAAGACTTTTAAAAGATATTTTTACAAAGTATTAAATAATATCAATATTTGTACAATTTAAATTTAGGAACTAATTTATAAGCAAAAGTCACTTTCTGACTATAAATTTCTTGAAATACAAATGCCTACCTTAAAATTTAAATAACATCAATACTTCTTTCATATCCTCAAGTTTTACTGCACAGGAAACAGGACACACTTCTCTATGTATTCAATCTTTGAATGGCAACTAACATAAACTTCTCTGAAGCAAATAAAAGTTACAGCCACTTGATACTTACTAACAATGAGATTGAAAACCAAATTGATGGCGGCCAGCATTGTTGCATATGCAGGCTGAGCCTGCCAGCATCACGTCCCATCAGCATCCTTACATGGGCATGGGTTTCCTGTCCCAGCTGTACCTCTTGCAATCGCAGCTCCCTGCTGATGCACCTGTGCAACGCAGTGGAAGATCGTCCAAGTGCCTGAGCCAGAGACCTGCAAGAAGCTCCTGGCTCCTAGCTTTGGATTGGCCCAGCTATAGCTGTTGCAGCCATTTGGAGAGTGAACTAGCTGTTGGAAGATCTCTCTGTCTTTCTCTCTCTCTGTCTGTAGCTGTCTAAATAAAAAAAAAAAAGATTCTGCTCGGGGCTGATGGTGTGGCCTAATGGATGAAGCCGCTGGCTATGGTGGCAGCATCCCACATAGGCATTAGTTTGAGTCCTAGCTACTCCACTTCCAATCCAGCTCTCTGCTATGGCCTGGGAAAGCAGTAGAACTGCACCCACATGGGAGACCCGGGGGAAGCTCCTGGCTCCTGACTTCAGATCGCCCCAGCTCTGGCTGTTACGATCATTTAGGGAGTGAACTGGTGGATGGAGAACCTCTTTCTGTCTCTCTGCTTCTGTGTAACTCTTTCAAATAATAAATAAATAAATCTTCAAAAATAAATATTCTGCTCAAAAGCCTGCATTCAGACACTAAAGATCCACACTAGAGAACAGGTGAGTAAAAAATGAAATTATACAAGTGGCATTTTCTGTATTTAGCTTTGCTGAAGATCTTTTTTTTCCTACCAAAAATAGAAGAATGTTAATTCAACAGTAGACATTATATTTGACCAATGATTAGTCTATAAAACCAAGCTGATAAAAAATATATTTAGACACTGGGTTTCTTATATTTTATCCATATTTGATATCTATAATTTGGTTCTTTAAAGTTAATAGTTACACAGTATTATAGCCCATTTTAAAGTAATTGTAGCAGCTGCTTTTTCCTACAACTCAGTAAACTTTATAATGTGTCTCGAATCATTTTCTTTTTTAAAACATATTTCAATAAGAGCCTACTAAAAAAGGTTATAATATATGCAAAATGTTTGAAAGATGAACAAAAGATACAAATGCCAAATTAAACATGAAAAAATATGCAAAGCTGTCAACAACTCTCTAACTGTATATGGTTGTTCCATCATCATCAAACAGACTTCAACAGTATTATCTAGGATATTTTTTGAAATTCCATTCACAAAATAACAGGCCTTTTTAATGTCCCAGGGATACACAATTGCCTAAAAGAAATCACTCAACTTTATACTATCAGGAATACCTAGAAAAAGATATTTTAATAAAAGCCTTTTAAGAAAAATCTGGTACCTAGAAGATTGTTTTGAGCAATCTCTGACCACATTTGAGCCTGAAGATGTCGGTTCAATGTCTTCATTTTGTCTTCTTAATTCTTTCTCTCTGTTCATTTCTTCCTCTTTTTCTCTTGCTTCTGAAAAGATAAAAAACTTTAACAGTTAGAATTCAAAATCTGTCAGTATTAGAAATGCTGAGGGGCTGGCACTGTGCCATAGTGGGTAAAGCCACCGCCTGTAGTGCTGGCATTCCATGTGGGCAACAATTCGAGTCCCGGCTGCTCTACTTCTGATCCAGCTCCCTGTTAACGCACCTGGGAAAGCAGCAGAAGACAGCCTAAGTCCTTGGGGCCCTGCACCTGCATGGAAGACGCACAATAAGCTCTTGGCTCCTGGCTTCACATCAGTGGAGCTCTGACCACTGCAGCCATCTGAGGTGTGAACCAGCAAATGGAAGACCTCCCCCGTACCCCAGCCTCTGCCTCTCTATAACTCTGCCTTTCAAGTAAATAAATTGAAAAAAAAAAAAGAAATTATGAAAATTAATCTTCAGAAAGATGTAACTTATAGTGACCCCAAAAATTACCAACCTATGGTACAACCACTGTGAAAGAATACTGCAGTCCCAAAAAAAAAATACTACAGTCCCACAAAAAGTTAAACATAAGAATGACTATCTGATCCAGCAATCCCACTTCTAGGTGTATGTCCAAAAAATTGAAAGGAAGGCTTCAAAGAGATATCTGTACACTCATGTTCAAAATAGCATTATTTACAACAGCTAGAACATGGAAGCAACCAAAGTGTCCATCTAAAGAAAAATAAATAAGGGAGGTGTGGTATAGCCATACAACAGACTATTAATACAACCTTAAAAAGGAAGAAATTGTGCCATATGCTACAACCTGAATAAACTTGAAGATTACTGTGCTAAGTGAAATAGTCACAAAAAGACAAATATCATTACTACTTACATGGGGTAGCCTAGAGTAGTGAAAATCAGGGACAAACTAGAATGGTGGAATGAGGAGAGATAATAAGAAGTTTTTAATGAGTATAGAATTGAGTGTTTAACCAGATGAACAAAGTTACAAAGATAGATGGTATGTTTACTGCAGCTCAATTTACAATAGCTAAGATATGGAATCAACCCAAAGGCCCATCAAACTGAAGACTGGATAAAGAAATTACGGGATATATACACCATGGAATACTACACAGCAGTAAAAAAGGAGAGGAGAGACATGAGAGGAGAGGGGAGGGGAGGGGAAAGGAGGGGAGGGGAGGAAGGAAGGAAGGGGGAAATCCTTTGTTCAGAAGAAAATGGATGAAACTGGAATACATCATACTTAGTGAAATGAGGCAGTCCCTAAAGGACAAACACCATATGTTCTCCTTCATCTGTGATAACTAATAGACACCTAAAATGTAATCTATAGAAGTGAAATTAACACTTCAAGATGCAATGACTTGGAACAGCTCTTGTCTCCTCTGTTGAAGAACAATTATTTTTTCATACAATTTGTTGAACTTTCAGTATAGTCATATGTGTATAGTTAACTGAAAATAGATTTTAGTAAAAAATAAGAATGGGAATAGGAGGAGGAGGAAGAGGAGTGAGAGCATGGGTGGGAGGACAGATTCTGTGGGAACAATCATTATATTCCCAAAGTTATATTTATAAAAAGCATGAAGTTTGGGGGCCGGGCACTGTGGCACAGTGGGTTAATGCCCTGGCCTGAAGCGCTAGCATCCCATATGGGCGCCGGTTCGAGGCCGGGTGCTCCACTTCCTGTCCAGCTCTCTGCTATGGCCCACACCCATGTGGATGCCTGGTGGAAGAGGCTCCTGGCTCCTGGCTTCAGATCGGCACAGATCCAGCTGCTGTGGCCATCTGGGGAATGGACCATCGGATGGAAGCCCTCTCTCTCTCTCTCTCTCTCTCTCTCTCTGCCTCTCCTCTCTCTGTGTGGCTCTTTCAAATAAATAAATCTTAAAAAAAAAAAAAAAAAAAGAAGTTTATAGTCCTTAAATAAAAGATTTCTGAGGAAAAAAGAGAAGATGGATGGTAGAGTTAGTTGTACAACACTGTATACTTAAAAATAGTTAAGATGGCAAAATTCAGGGCTGGCATTGTTGCACAGCTGGTAAAGCTACCGCCTATAATGCAGGCATCCATATAGATGCTGGCTCAAGTTCCCGCTAATCCACTTCCACTCCAATTCCCTGTTATTGTGCCTGGGAAATCATTAGAAGATGGTTCAAGTACTCGAGCTCCTGAATCCACATGACAGACCCAAATTAAGCTCCTGAATCTTGGCTTTGGCCTGGCCCAGCCTTGGCCATTGTGGCCATCTGGGGAGTGAACCTGTGGATGGAGGATCTCTTTCTCTGTCTCTCCTTTTCTGTCTGTAACTCTCTCAAATAAATAAATAAATCTTTTAAAAATGGTAAAAATTTTTCTTGTACCTATTTTATTACAATAAAAAATTATCAACCTAAATGGCCAAATTGGGAGAACTGAATAAAATTATTTTCTAGCAACATAATATAAAATGCAGCCAAAAAATGATAGAAAATACAGAAACTAGAGGAAACATTAACAGATACACTAAGCAAAACCAGGAGACGGAATGGTATGTAACCATAAATGAACAATGTAAAAAGATGATTATGTTAAAGAGAAAACATTCAAAGGTAAGATCTTACATAATTCACATTTTTTTAAGATTTTATTTATTTATTTGAGAGGTAGAGTTACAGATAGTGAGAGAGAGAAACAGAGAGAAAGGTCTTCCTTCCATTGGTTCACCCCACAAATGGCCGCTACAGGCGGAACTACGTCGATCCAAAGCCAGGAGCCAGGTGCTTCCTCCTGGTCTCCCACACAGGTGCAGGTGCCCAAGCACTTGGGCCATCCTCCACTGCTCTCTCAGGCCACAGCAGAGAGCTGGACTGGAAGAGGAGCAACCGGGACTAGAACCTGGGGTGCCGGCACCGCAGGTGGAGGATTAGCCTAGTGAGCCCCGGCGCCGGCATCATTTCTGAATTTTCTACACTGGATTTTTAGTCAGAAACCATCTACTAAAACTTTCCACCATATCAGGCTTGTAGAGTTGTTTACTTCATAAATACAAAAAAAAAAAAAAATTACCAAAAAATCTCTTTTCCTTGAAAATATCACTCAAACAACTGGGGGGAGAAGGTCACAAGAAGTTTCGAAATTATATGAATAGTTTCTCAGTGGCCACTGTCCTCAATATCTAGAGGTAATCTGTAACATTTTTTCCTTCATTTAATAAAGAGATATAGGGGCCAGCTGTAGAAGGTTAAACTTCAGGCTGCCCCGCCAGCATCCTATATGATCACCGGTTCATGTCCGAGCTGCTCCACTTCTGATCCAGCTCCCTGATAATGCACCTGGGAAAGCAGCAGAAGATAGTTCAAGTACATGGGCCCCTGGACCCATGTGGAAGACTTAAAAGAAACTTCTGGTTCCTGACTTCAGACTGGCCCACCTCCTGCCAATATGGCCAATTGGGGAGTGAACCAGTAGATGAAAGATCTCTGTCTCTCCCTTTCTCCCTCTGTAACTCAGCTTTTCAAATAAATAAATATATCTTTTTTAATAATGCAATATAATACACTGAAAATGTCCTACTTGTTGTATTCCTTACGGTCTTTTGCTGCTAGGACATTGAGGATGAGCAATGAGGAAGTTTGACATGTCTTTCATGTCACAAAATTCAGGAAGAGGTAAGGCAAATACTCTGGAGCTCTAGCTCATGTTGATTTTTCTGTGCAATGCTGCATTTTTTTTAAAGATTTATTTATTTGTTTGTTTTATTTTATTTTTATTTAATTTTTTTTTGACAGGCAGAGTGGACAGTGAGAGAGAGAGACAGAGAGAAAGGTCTTCCTTTGCCGTTGGTTCACCCTCCAATGGCCGCCGCGGCAGGCGCGCTGCGGCCGGCACACCGCGCTGATCCGATGGCAGGAGCCAGGTACTTATCCTGGTCTCCCATGGGGTGCACGGCCCAAGCACCTGGGCCATCCTCCACTGCACTCCCTGGCCACAGCAGAGAGCTGGCCTGGAAGAGGGGCAACCGAGACAGAATCCGGTGCCCGACTGGGACTAGAACCCCGTGTGCCGGCGCCGCAGGCGGAGGATTAGCCTATTGAGCTATGGTGGCGCCGGCCAGATTTATTTATTTGAAAGTCAGAGTTACACACAGAGGAGAGGCAGAGAGAGAGAGAGGTCTTCCGATAGTTCACTCCCCAATTGGCTGCAACGGCCGGAGCTGTGCCAATCCGAAGCCAGGAGCCAGGAACTTCTTCCGGGTCTCCCACCTGGGTGCAGGGGCCCAAGGACTTGGGCCATCTTCCACTACTTTCTCAAGTCATAGCAGAGAGCTGGATCGGAAGAGGAGCAGCCGGGATTAGAATCGGCACCCATACAGGATGCCGGCACTTCAGGCCAGGGCATTAACCTGCTGTGCCACAGCACCAGGCCCAATGCTGCACTCTTGACACTGGAGAAGATTAGAAAAACAGCAGAAGCATGGTGTCCAGATGTAAGACTGCGCCTGCTCAGCTCCTTACCTCACCATCTCTCAGTGACTCTTCTACAGCCTTTGGGTGAGAGTTGAGGGCATTTGTACTCTAGGATCAGCTTCTCCCTCAGGTGTTAGGGCCAATTCTGTTATTAGTCAGGAAAGGATACTGAGGGAGATATCATTAGCTGCCTATTCCACTAGCACTCCCTTGGCATTTCTTGCTAAGAAAACCACAATATTCAGGGCTAGCTTGTGGTGCAGTGGATTAAACTGCCACCTGCAATGCCAGCATCCCATATTGGAATGCCATTTCAAGTTCCAGATGCTCCACTTCCGATCTAGCTCCCTGATAATGTACCTGGGAAAGCAGCAGACAACGGCCCAGATGGAGTTCCAGGTTCCTGGCTTCAGCCTGGACCAACCCTCACCATTGCTGCCACTTGGGGAATGAACAAACAGATGGAAGATCTCTGTCTTTCCCCCCGCCCCCTGCATTTCAAACTAAATCTAAAAAAAAAAAAAAAAAAGTTATGACTTCTAAACAGAAATATATAGACAAAACAGCCTCCTTTCTGGCTGTG